CTGTCCCGAGTGCCCGTGTACGGCTTTGGCATTGCCGTCAGCGGTGGTCGTGATAATCCACACTTTATGAATGGTGATCCATCAATTGCCATCTCCGATGTTCTCAAGGCAGGCCCTGCAGAAGGAAAGCTCATGTAAGTGTGGCACTGGTCATTGTATATGAGGTACCAAGAGACGAAGAGGTAACTGACGATGACACACATTTTTCCCTTTCTGATTGAAGGGTTAACGACCGAGTCATCAGCGTGAATGGCGTCTCACTGGAGAACGTCGACTACAACCAGGCCATTTCGGTGCTGCGTGAGTGTGGCAGCGCCGTCAACCTGCTGATCAAAAGACGTGCACTGGTGACACAACAAAGCAATGGTAATGCCACTGCGGAGGCAAATAACAATCCCATTAAGGTCACACTGACCAAGGCAAACAAAAAGGACGGTAAGTACACTGCCCTGTCCACGTCGTCCATCCAATCTGATCGTTAATGATGACTGCCTCTGTGACAGACTTTGGAATCGTTCTCGGCTGCAAGATATATGTCAAAGAGATCACCAATCGGTCAGCTGTCAACGAGAAAGACGTCTCCCTGCAGGAAGGTGATATCATTCATAAGGTAATAAAGTGCAGTGCCATCATCTGTGCTCTTCCTTGACTGTCTCTCTGACTGCAGTCGTCAAACGAGCGTCCGCTTTGGTAATTAATTCAGCCATTTCAATCTTTCAATTTGTACAGATCAACAGCACCAGCACAGAAGGCATCACACTGAAAGAGGCCCGTAAACTGCTAGAAAGCTGCAAGGAGAAAGTATCACTAGTGGTGGCCAGAGAAACAACCCCTACTAATCCACTTGCCAACTTTATCAACAATCGCTTTCTCAATGAGAACGGCAACTACATCAATGGACATGGTCGAAACAACGCAGTACCACAGAATGGCCTGTTCAACAGCAGCAACTCCCACCAGCGGTGGCCCTCATCGGTGGGCTCTGACAGAGTCGAGCAGAATGCGNTCGAGCAGAATGCGGCGCCCAATGGGTCGGCAATGGTCAATGGGCACAGCAAGGAGAACTCTTTTTCAGGTCACAATGAATCAAACAACAACAACAACAACAACAACAGCATTACCAGCAACGGAGCCACTGTGGCCGCCAACATTGCCGCCATGGCGAATGGCCGAGCCAATGGAAGCAATGCCTGGAGCAATCAGAATCTCTACGTTCAGCCGCCCACACGAGCAGAGTACCAGCAGATGAACAACTCACAGACGGCTTCAAACCACCCGCTGTCCTCTTCGACACTGAATGACTCGGGTGAAGGGAACAGTGAAAGCAACCAGCCACAGCAACAGCACCTGAACAGCAGTACAATCTCCAGTCGAATGCGTGCCCCA